AAGGAACAATCCACTGCAACAAAGTGTCCGGGAATTGTGTCAAATGGTGGCCAAATAATTTGGTAGCAGGAAATCGGCCAGACTGGTTGCATATAGACCACATAAAACGTTTTCCTAAAATGTTTAAGTTTTCTTTTTGTGTTTGAATCCTTAATTCATAAGGGATTGATTCTGGTTTATGTTATAAAATGAAAGTCCAATTTTATTTTTTTCCTCTGTAGATAAATAATTGTCCCAATTTTTTCTTGACCTCTCTCCTCTTTTCACTGACCTGTAAAGACAATTGTCACATGGCAGACATCCACATATGTGTGGGTCTGTTTCTAAACTAATCTTGTCCTTTGATCATCCAGCTGAATTTCATGTCCCATGAGAAACTTCACTGAGTTTGTTGTTCTTGTTGTTTTGTAGCAGGAAAAATAGAGAGATCGTGACACTGAGACTATTATAGGAAGTGGCACTTTATTACGCTGGCTAGCACAGCACAGCGGGCCCGAGAATTTCATGCATCCAAATCAAGCTCGAACACCCCAGAACAGGTGACCTGGGTTTTATACCCTCGTTTAGGTAAGGGAGGGGGTCGTGTTGAATGATTACATATTTCCTTTGGAATCTTACAAGGTTGTACTCAGCAAAATCAGATTTTTCAAAGAACAAATGGTTTCCAGGAACTGCAGGATTGTAAACGTCAACTTCAGAAGGGGGGCTCCTTAGATAAGACTCTTTTTCATTTCCATGAACTAGCCAGTCTCTGGGCCATTTGGCCTTTCTTAAACAAAACCTGCCTGACACCAGGGCGGGCCTTTAAAGTTGCAACTTGCCTTTCAAAGGGAAATACCTTTAACTGCTATCAACCTTTCCTTCTTGCCACTGGGCTAGTGGCAGCCCAGGTGAGGCCAACTGCTGATCCCGAATCAGCCACATGTGTTTCTGTGTTTATTCACTCAATCACACAAGAAATATATTTGAGCATATGCCGCCTCCTGCCACAGTTTCGTTTTGTTTAGAGTCAGAGTCTCACTTTGTTGCCCAGGTCGGAGTGCAGTTGGCACTATCATGGCTCACCGTGGTCTCAACCTGCTGGGCTCAGGCAATCCTCCCACCCCAATCTCCTAATTAGCTAGGACTACAGGCCCACACCACCATACCCAGCTAGTTGTTTTATTTTTTGTAGAGACAAGGTCGCACTATGTTGCCTAGGCTGGTCTCAAACACCTGGACTCAAGCAATTCTCCCCCCTCAGCCTCCCAGAGTGCTGGGATTGCACCACCATGCCTGGCCAAGAAACTTCATTGAGATTTTGATTGAAATTGTTCTGAATCAACAGATCAGCTTGCTATGACATTGACTCCTCTGATCATTGAAGGTCTATTTTCATGTCTTTCAACAAAGTTTGATCAACTTTTCCATAAAAACTTACATATCTATATTTTTTAAATCCTTTCCTAATTTTTCTTTTCTTTTCTTCTGAAAATTACATTTTCAAACTTCTCACTGCTAGTGTACAGAAATTCAATTGGCTTTTGCATATTGATCTTACATCTTGCCAAATTGTTATACTTTCTCCTTAATTCTAGTGATTTACTTGTAGGGTCTTTGAAATTTCTGTGGAGACTAGCCAGCCTCTGTCCAAACAAGCATTCGTGTTCCCCCTCCACAACTAAGGACACTGCAGTTTAAAGAGATTAAATCCCATGCCCAAGGCCACCAGGCTAGGAAGACACAAAGCTGGGATTTGAACCCACTCCATCTGGCGTCCCAGTCCATGCTCCCACCACATGGGCTCCCCACAGTCCAAATCAAAGTACTTCCCACCAGCCTCTCTCTCTTCTTTCTTCTGTTTCTTCATCCCAAAGATTGGGCTGTGTTCCTCAGTGTACCTGTGGCAGAGAGGGACTGATAACAGTTAAAAGTATTCCTTTTAAAGATCAATCTGCAAGCTCCAAAAACCTGCTAGGCAGGTTTTGCTGAGAAAACCAAATAGCCAAAGAAGGCTTTCCTGGAAATGCTAAATAGTAACCAATTTACAACCTTAACCCAAATCCTTTGTGAAGTTATCGGTTTACAACCCCTGCTTGTTATGCATATCCTGGAGATGAGACCATTTGTTCTTTGAAAATCTGGTTTTGCTAAGTACAACCTTGTAAGTTCCAAAGAAACTGTATAGTCACACAACCTGACCCCCTCTCTTACCTAAACTAAGGTATAAGACCCCTCTCTTACCTCCCCAGGGTGCTCGGCCTGGGAGCATTATGCTGAGTCATGCAGGCCCTAATAAAACCACTACCTCCTAAAACAGCCACGGTGTCACAGCCTCTCTGTGTTCTCTGTGTTCCCGCAACACACCCACTTCTTTATCTACCAAACCCCTATTCCCCCGCTTGCACGTCAAACTGATGTCTTCTTCTTCTTCTTTTTTTTTTTTTTGAGTTGGAGTCTCACTCTGTTACCCAGACTGGAGTGCAGTGGCTGCTCCCGGCCACTGCAGCCTCAACCTGCTGGGCTCCGGTGATCCTTCCACCTCAGCCTTCCAAGTAGCCGGAACTACAGGCACGTGCTACCACGCCCGGCTAAATTTTTTGATTTATTGTAGAGATGAGGTCTTGCTAAGTTGCTCAGGTGGGTCTCGAACCCACGGGCTCATGCAATCCACTCACCTCAGCCTCCCAAAGTGCTGGGATTACAGGCCGAGCCACTGAGCCCGGCTAAACTCATGTCTTCTAATGGTTATAAATGTACTGTAAAAAGAGAATATACACTAATATCAGGAGCAATAAAAACCATGTTGAGTGGCCCAGGTCAGTTTGCTGAGAATGAAACCAATGAGGTCGGTTTTAGAGAGATTCCCTCACAGGTGCTATCAAAAGGATGCATGTATTTTATCTACAAATTTCACTGCCCTAACAGCTCCACCCAGATTTCCAATTGCACCAGAAAATGCATGGAACTGCTGATGGCTGCAAAATTCCCAGATGGTTAAATAAAATAAATTATAAGAAACTGAAAAGCGCGTACACACACACACACACACACACACACACACACACACACACACACACACACACACTCAGTATAACCCAACAACTTCATTCCTGGATATATTCCCAACAGGAATCAGTGGATGTCCACCAAAGGACATGTACAGGGATTTTTGATGACAGCTTTGTTCATAAGAGGCAAAAACTTGCAACATCTCAAAAGTCCATCAACAATAGAATGGGTAAATAAGTTACAATATTTTTTTAGTTTTTTATTTTAAAGATTCAGGCTACAATTCAAGGTTAGGTATACAAATGTTCATTACGCACGTACCCTTGTCGAAGAGATACGCATCCCCCTGCCAGTTTCCCATTACTGCCAATCCCTTTCTTATAGGATTATGACAGTTGTTCAAGATCTGCTTATGAATGAGAACATATGATACTTGGACAGTATGTTTTTCAAAAAGGGAATAAATATAAAAGAACAAACTACTGATACGTCTACCACAGGGATGAATCTTTGTGTGAAAGAAGGCAGGCATCAAAGAGCACAGACTACAGCCTTCCTCTGACAGGAATCTCTAGAAGAAGCTACATCAACTTATGGGGTAGAGGCCCTAGGGAGTGTCAGGGGAAAGGGTATGAGGTGGTCTTCTGGGGCAGGGCGCATCATATCTTGATCGGAGTGATGGTTGCATCAGTGAATACACAGACTAAACTCCACCAAACTGGACACATGCAGGCACTGTGTTGTATATCACCTCCGTTTTTTTTTAAGTGAGGGAAATGTAGAAAAAATGTGCTATATTCATAATCCAATTCTATATCACAAATTACCACAAACTTCATGGCTTAAAGCCACACACGTGGCGAGGCTCAGTGGCTCAGCCTGTAATCCCAGTGCTTTGGAAGGCTGAGGCAATTGGATTGCCTGAGCCCGCAGGTTTCAGACCAGCTGGGGCAACTTGGCGAGACCTCGTCTCTACAATAAATCAAAAATAGCCAGGCATAGTAACATGCACCTGTAGTTCTGGCTTCTTGGAAGTCTGAGGTGGAAGGATCACCGGAGCCCAGCAGGTTGACACTGGGGTGGCCGTGAGTGTGCCACTGCACTCCAGACCAGGCGACAGAGTGAGACTCTGACTCAAAAAAAAAGCCACACACGTTTATTACCTCACAATTTCTGTGGTCAGGACACAGGTACTCTCCTTAGGGCCTCATAAGACTGCACTTAAGATGGCGCCCGGGCTGCGCTCTCATCTGGGGACTCAATTGGTGAAGAATACACTTCCAAGTTCACTCACTCAGGTGGATGGCAAAATGCATTTCCTTGAAGCTCTGGGCTGAGGGCCCCTGCTTCTTTCTAGCTGTCCTTGTCCTCAGCCCCTAGAGGCCACACTGAACATCCTGCCATGTGGGCCTCATAACATGGCTATTGACTTCTTCGAGGTCAGCTGGGGAGATCTCTAGAGCGTGTTACCAGCAGATTGAAGTCTTACACAGCAACATAACCGTGGAAGTGACGTCCCATCACCTTTGTGGTACTCTGTTGGTTAGAAGCAAGTCACAGGTCCCACCCACACTCAAAGGGAAGGGTTACTGGGGCCACCTTAGAGTCTGTCCATCACAGTTGGTTCTGCTCATTGAAATGTGTGAATGTGAAATTTGCAAATTCAACATATTTCATTCTCTCCTGGCTTAAAAAGCTGTATCTTGACCCCCTATGTGGGGGTCAAGTGTGGATTCGTTTTTCTTTATT